CATCCGTGCGACAGCAAAAGCTGCCGCGTGGCTCTACCACAATTGTTTTCATTGATCTTTTCTTATAAAATTCTATTTGCTTACGTTACGATGCAACAGAATTTTACACCTGACATTTCTAACACTATCGCCTACAATAAGAAATATTTTAACGGTTCTTCAGGCTGCGGATGACAAGGACGTCTGTTGCTCGGCGAAATTATTGACTCAACACATTACCTAACCGAATTTATGTCTATCGTGTTTAAGCGTAGATTTGGTTTCTCTATGTAGCTACATATATCAAGGCAGTACAAAAAATAAGTGCGACATACTAACTTCCCCTTTGGCGACTAATTATAACTTTTTGAAGTGAAACTTCTTTATCGACGTAATGGAGAAATTTATTACGGTATTAAAGATAAAAAATAAAACGTCACGTTTTTATTGTAACGTTTCACCACCGGGGTCGCATGAGTATACTTTTATTTAACCTACTTATGTAAAATAGAAAATAATAATTTAAAATTAAAAAATTTGTACTGCCGAATTCAATATAAGTTATTAAGAATAACTCAATAACTATTGGTCTGATCTTAATCAAATTCATATGGGACCACACGAGAATTATCAGCATTCAAATCAAAAAAGAATCATCGAAATCGGTTCACCAAGCGAGCGAAGTCGCGAGGGACAACTAGCTAAAACATTATTTTGGTTTCGACACAATAGTGGAAATGAATAAAACAAAGCCAGTATACCTATATCTTAAGCCGACTGGCAAGGACAAAAGAATTATAAGTATCTACTCAAGACTGACTTTGCATCTTATCCTTCATCTCTCGTTATTACATTAAGCGGTACATCAGATGCGTTCTAAATTAATAACATGCTGGTTAATGATGAACTATAAAAATAGGAAATTTGTTAATAATTTGAAAGCAGGGCCATCTATAATAGCATAGCTATGAGCCATCATGTAGACAGAAGAAATATATTGTGTAAATATGTGACCTCAATCGATCAAGTCATTCAGAATACAGAAGTTACACGATCACTAACGGACGCATCAACTGTAATATACAAAGACTAGCAATCGGGCCCGGTTCGCACGGGTGATTTCTGGATCTCGACAACAACGCCACCTAACGGGGCCAATTGTGAATCTAAATTATCCTCTAATCAACTTAACACAAAATTTCATCAAAATCGGTCCAGCCGTTTAAGTCGACGGCTCCGTGGCGCAGTGGCTTAGCAATCAGTTGTTGCGCTGGGGGCCGCGGGTTCGAATCCCGCACGGAACAAGTATTTGTATGGCCTACAAATAATTGTTCCGGGTCTGGATGTTTGTCCTTGTGCAATTTATGTTTGTAAACTGCCTCCACGACTCAGGAGAAAATCATAGTGTGGGGGTAACGTTTTTTTTAAAAAAAAAAGGAGTTCAATCACATACACAGAAGAATTATATGTACACATTAACCACAACTTTCTGGTGTTTAAGGTGGTAAATAAAACTACACATATCAAGAATATCAAACAGAAACAATATTCAGTATCATCTGCTATTTCTCCAAGCTTAGAGGCCTACTTTAGCAAGGTCGTGTTGTACATTATTTGATTGTATTCCGTTGCGCTGCGCGATAATATATCGAAGATAAAGTAAATTTATATCTCAAACGCTCGGCAACTGCGAACACCGGGTTACGTAAACATTTAAACACCGCTGACTTACGCGGGCTATTCACAGTTTTGCTTGAACGAAAATGTATTTTTGTAACAATTACATTCAGCACTGAACTACTTTTGCGGTTATCAGTTTATTACGGTTCACAGTTGGACGTAGGCTTTGATCGAGTCGGGTCTTATCTTGCTTTGCAGATAGATTAGCGGCCATAATCGCACTTGATTATAACTACAGGCATCTTACTTGTGAACAGGTGCTGCTTGTGGAGTCTGCTTGAGTGTTCTATGCACTGCTGAGCTCCAAATTTTACCATCTAGTGTGTTTTTTTTTTTTACTTTTAGATAATGCTTCAGTTAGGTGCCGATGGGTCTGTTACTCGTATTTTTCACTCATCTCTGGTCAGATGAATATCATTTCGAAACGGTAGTGGATTCGAAACATAAATTACGCCTGACATACGAAATTTCATTTTCTTATACGAAAACTGAATATTCATTAATTTCATTACTTACCTTAAATATCTAAGCGAATACGCTAGTCATCCGATGGTAATGATAATTATTCCGTTGTACTTTATTAGGATAAGAACGTTTATCTTTTAAAGAATATAGTACAAATAAATTAACAGACAGTTTAAAAAGCGAGGAATCAGAATTGTTTGCTAAGCACCGAAGGGATCAAATATTATTTAAGCGGCTGCCCGACAACCCTGTACCGGCAAACGGTTTATTGGATTGTCATGATTAAGAGCTACCACATCAATTAGTTTGCTGATAATCATATGAATATGTTACGGCTAAAAATCGAAGTGCCAGACCTGCGAGTAGGTGTATCCGCACTTCGCATTGTAGCCTTAACATGTATATTAAGTAGATATGCAGGTACTATTGAGCAGAACTATGTATGTAAGTACGGTAAACAAGTTGCAATAATTATAATATTGGTAGTGCCCAAAAAGTTAGAGACACATAAATTATTGTTTAGAGTGCTTAAGGCGACATATCGAAAACCGTTGAAGCGGGCTATCGCCGGACTAACCAGATAAATCATAATTTCTATAAAAACTTCAAAAACGCCGTCATAAGGTCTAAAATTGCGTAGCGCCCGCGACTATTAAAACCGCTTAGAAATCGCGTAGAATCTTAAAATATTTTTAAAAAATTATTGAATTTAGCAATCAAAATAATGAGCAAGTAAATTACGAATATTGATGTTATGAATGTATTCGAATGGCTTCCAAGCATATAGATTAAGTAATTTCGTTGTAATTTCAACCATAGTGATTTTTTAGAGGTGTTTTCGCAAATTATTATGAATCGAGTAAAAATTTTACAATCGTGTTTTTGAGCAAGCAAACTCAAGATAAAGACATGAATTTACCCATATCAAAATTCCAGTTTCGTTAGTCGTGTCATACTCCTATACTATTCCATGAAAGGAGGTGCATTTTTTCGCGGTGTCGCCTTAACTAACTGAATCTTGTCATCCAAAAAAGATTATTCCACATTTGCACTACGTGACATACGGACATGTTATAATTGATAGCTGTTTACCGCCACAGCTTAATGTAGCCACTTTTACTGGTTTTTTATTTGTTGCAAAACTGTGTTATACGCACAACTTCCTACTGCTGAGCTGACAGCAATGAATCAATATTTTTGGTAGATTATATCTAAGCTCAGAGGCTGGGCACTCGCTTTAAATTTTATTGCACTAGCATTACCCACTGGCATCACTGAAAACGTTCACTGCAATATTAAGTGCTGGTTTGTCACAATTTAAATTTAAACATTTTTGAGTGCTGATTTACCACTATTTAATTATTTAATCTATTTCAGATTACCACTGTCACCTCTTACTACACCAACAGGACGAATAGGATACTAAGATATTCTTACACTTAAACCGCCACTACACGGTTATTTTGTTAGATATACTATTTAACCTCATCTATACAAATAAATAAAATCTAAGTGTCTGTTTGTAATGTCAAAATTACAGTGTTTTACTAAATGCATATAAAAGTAAATACGGTACTTATAACTAAAATACTATTTTTTAAATTTTTGTCTGTGTGTCTGTCTATCTGTCTGTCTGTTTGTTCCGGCTAATCTCCGAAACGGCTGAACTGATTTTGACGGGGCTTTCACTGGTAGATAGCTGATTTCATAAGGAGTAACTTAGGCTACTTTCATTTTACAAAAAGAATTAGGGTTCCGCGCAAAAACATAAAAACCTCAACCCGCGGGTGAAGTCGCGGGAAACAGCTAGTAATAAATAAGATTTAAGTCGTTAGTCGGAAAATGTAAACAAAAGAAGAAATAGCCAAAAATAACAATAGAATTTTAGGTACCAAACTAATATAAGTACAAGATTATCAATAAAACAAACATACAATAATATTCAATATTATAAATTAAAACAAATTGGTTTGGTTTTATTTTTCTATTATTATTTTTTGTACAAAATGAAACTTCGTATGATTTTGCTTACACTATACACTGTGAAGTGATAATTATTGTTTCCCCTGGAGGAAGATGACTACGCCTGCCGTCATACAGTGCAAACTAGTATCGAGAGTAAAACATTAACTTTTCTGTAGCACCAATATTCTAACTCAAGTAGTTCTGTTTACCACATTTTAATATGGATTTATAGTAGCTGTGTAAGAAGTAGAGCCGCGGTGTAAGAATATCCATTACTCCATATGGTCCAGTGGGTGCCGTAAGAGGCGACAGAGGGAAACAAATCAGGAGATGGGCAGCAGCGTCTTCCTAACAACGATTGAAAAGAAAAAACTGCGGTTGCCAATCCGCTTACCAAGCGTGGCAACTATGGCAAATGTACCCCCATACGAGGCAATTTATGTCGAAGGCCTATGTAGCCGAAGAAATTTAAATATATTATACTAACTACTTAAATGTCTTTGTATGTAGCAGTGGACTTTAATAGGCTATAACGGTAACGGTTGTAGTAGCTCTTTATTCTAATATGTAACGTTACAGTGATTTGTTACTTGTTAACGTCTGCAGTCTGTCTCCTAGTTCAGTTTCCCTCTACCACCGCTTACGACGGGATTGTATGAGGTGGTGGAATTATATACGCCGCCACTACACGGCGGAAAATATTACTTGTTGTGTTAGTACATTTTCCAATAAATAAAATCTTACACCTATTATTTACCAGAATGTTATGATGTGAATTTCATGTGAACCAAAAAAAAAATGGAACGATAGAGCTGACTAAATATATAATAAATAAATAAAAGAAATTAAGAAGCTGAAAGATATTTGTGGATATATATGTTGTATGTTATAAGGTGAGTTTTGTTGGACAGATGGCGCCAATGCGCGGCGAGCGGGGCGGGTCCCCGGCGCGAGGCGCGCGCGCTTCTCTGCCGCTGCCGCGCCGCCTCATCCGGCAGATCGCGCGCCACGTCGCCTCCAGCGGCCGCTCGCTCCGCCGCCTCGAAGTCTCCGGGAAGGTCATCGACAACTTCGACGACATCGGGGACGCCTCCGATGAGTCGGATTTGGAGACGCCACAGCCTGCGTTAGTATCTTATCTTCATTCTCAAGTCTAAATTACTGTTCAGCTATGTTCTACGGATCGTTTACAAGTCAGATCCAGACATACTATAGACAGACCTTTTTAGGGTTACGAACCTCAAGGAAAAAACGGAACCCTTATAGGATCACTTTGTTGTCCGTCTGTCTGTCTGTCAAGACCCTTTTTCTTAGGAACGCGTGGAGGTATCAAGCTGAAGATCATATCAAATACTCAAATCTACTGTTCCTTGGAAATGTGAAAAAATCAAACTTCTAAGCCAACGCAATCAAAAGATACAGCCGTTTATGCCGCAAATTTTCGACATTCCCAAGGGAATCAAAACCTACAGGGTTACTTCCCGTGAACTCAGAATCTTAAAATTTGGTACGAAGCAACGTATTATACACAGATAAAGGAAAGATTGCGAAAAGCATAAGTTTTTAGTTACATCATATAATAAAAATATTTTTAATAATTTTAAACTTATCTATCTACGGATTTGTTCGAAACCCTCTGTGCGCGAGTCCGACTGAAACCGACCAAGTGTGGCCGGTTTTTTTTCGTCACAGCCTCTGTGGTTTAAGTTCAAGGACAAATCGGATTTGGAGATGCCACAGCCAGCGTTAGTATCTTCATTAGCAAAAGGCCTTTTAACGCTACCTTCTCTGCTGCGTGCAATTTGTCCAGCACGAAGTAAGCGTGCGACATTCGGTAGACAAAAAGTTACTTGTAACGTTTTTTATTTTTGCTTATTATCAGATAATAAACGATATAAATAAAACGATTAATGTAACGTATCTGAAGAATCCTTTTGATTAAGAATTTGAATAAGTTTTTCATATATACGCATATTTTTTCAAGAAGTATATATAGGTTTCAATTCTCGATAAAATCATGTTTAAATTACGACATTTTGTCCAATCTGGCCTCCGTTTAGATATTGTCTGCAAGGACGTCTACCGACAAAGACACCAGATCCGGGCACGCCATGCACAATTTTTTTCAATAGCAATTAAGCAAATAACTTTAACAAGTTTACTCCTTTCTGGTACTTTCGACCGCATTATTGTCGATCATATTTTCCTATTATGCGCGGAATATCTTTTGCGCCGTAAACTTTGTAGACATTCCACATACCGATGCAAATTTTTATTGATTTCATGGATAATAAAACTTAATTGAAATGGCCTTTCTCGTTGTAAGTAGTTACGCTTGGCAGGCGCATTGACGTTCGCAGTTTATTTGATCGAAGTAGACATGGGTGACTCGGCGATATTCCTTGCGTTAACTCAGTAACTCAGGCACAGTTTACTGTGCCGACTCTTTGCGTTAACTCAAAATCGCAAAACAATTGCAAAACACATTTCTCAACTCGGCCATCTGTCAAAATAAAACCGTGTGGCCAGAAAGTAAAATAAAATTTAGATAAGAAAGATTATCTGCTGTCCGCGCATTCTATCTTGGCCGGGTTGAATTTGGCTTCTGCGGCATGTAAAGACGCTAGTCTATAGAGCGACTTCATATTCGCTCCCTAACATCGCAAACAGTTTTTTTTGTTATTATAGTGAAAATATCTTTATGCATATTTCAAAAAAAATACTATCTGATAAAGAATTACGATAAACATTTTGAATATATAGTAAATACACGATATTAGCAGGGACAAAATATTCATATTATTAATTATAATTATTTAATAATATTTATTATAATTATACATATTAGTAATAACAATACAGTTTTCAAAATAATAAAAATAACAACATCTTAACACCTTTTGAATCTCCAGGCCCTGCGCTGTGCGCTAATACATTTTGAAGAAGTGAGTTAAGATATCGGCGCAGTGAACTGAGTTGTTTGTTTCGCACCTTTTCTTTTATAGGATAGGGTGACAAACGAGCACACAGTTCACTTGATGGTAAGTGGTTGCTGTGGTCCATAGACGTCTACATTTATCATCGTTTGCGAATCATAATGCAGACGCGTTGTCACTCGTGAGGACTAAGATGGAAGACCTCTTTTCCAGTAAAAAGGGTCTCCGGTTCTCTACACTCACCATACGAAACACAGCATTGTTAAGCTTCTATTTTACGCTGGTATTCTGTGAGAGCGTGGTCCTTCCCCGGTCGAGCCGACCCATTCGTGCTAAAACTATACTACTTTAGCTGCAGCATGGCTCTACCACGTAAAAACTTTTGAAGAAATCTCTTAAGTTGTTACAAGTCAGTGTACCGTGTAGTGGCGGTGTAAGAATGTCCACTACGCCATATCGTCCCGTGGATGCCGTATGAGGCGACAGAGGAAAACAAATCAGAAGATTTGTAGCAGCGCCTTCCTAATAACGACTAAAATTTTACTAAAATAAAAAAATAAAAAACTGTCGCCAACCCTGTGCCATGCGTGGCAACTGTGGCATATATACCCCTATGGGGCAATCTATGTTCAGCAGTGGACTTTAATAGGCTGTAACCGTAACGGTTACAAGTCAGGGTATAAGACTATCATCAAAGGCTTTAAAAGTCCATCTTTCGAAATGGTCCTCTCTCGTTGTAAAGAATCACGCTAGGCAGTTTGATTGATGATCACAGTTTTCGATCACTGTATATTTGATCGAAGATTTCATCACCTTTGATATATACTCTATAACTTACTTGCACGTTGTTGTAACAGATTCAGAAAATTACATACCTGTACTTAGCGATCTGGTAGCGATAGGGTAGTGAACAGCGCCACCTACAGAGTTCAATTGTAAATCTAAACTATCTAGGGACGCACTCAAACATACCAATAATTTAAAATTTAAAACTTTGTACAACCGACTTCAATATAAATTACTAAGAATCACTCAAAAACTATTGGTCAGATCTTGATCAAATATATGGGACCACATATGAAGCACCAGCTTTCAAATAAAAAAAAAAAGAATCATCGACATCGGTTCACCCAGTAAAAAGTTATGAGGTAACACATTAAAAAAACATACAGTCGAATTGAGTACCGTCTTCTTTTTGAAGTCGGTAGAAAATTCATCGAAATGGGTCCTGCCGTTTAGGACGAGTTCAGTGACAAACACTCGTACAGAAGAATTATATAATAAAATATTTAAGTGCATTAAGCAGTCTTTATTATTCCCTAAAGCTGCAATACATAATATTATGTGTGTCACCATAAAAAACCATTTGCTTTAGTTTGTTCTTCCGATAAGGCAAAGTTACGATCCTAAAAGATCAACCTATTATAATTGGTCCTAATTTAAAATTGGTTTTATGTCTAGGCAGGAGAAACTATCATAATTATGAGAACTAGACCTTAACCTGTTCACTAAAAAATTAAATATACAATCCATTTCATGCCTTTGAATGATATTGTCATCAGTTCATAGAATACAATGAATGAGACTCACTCGAACTCTTGTTTATCACTGTCAAGTCCCTTAATTATTTAAAGAACAAATTATGCGCAGAAGCATGAATCAAAACACCTATTAATAGGGAAAAACTTTCCTTTGATAATGTAACCTTCATGGTCAATTTCGTTACAACTATTTACTGTTTACTCTAATTACTCTTATTACCGTAACAGCCCATCAAAGTCCAAAGTTTTTTTTTATTCGTTATTAGGAAGACGCTGCTATCCATCTCCTGATTTATTTCTCTCTGTCACGTCTTACGATACCCACGGAATGATATGAGTTAGTGGATATTCTTACCTACACGGTGTACATGCTCTTATTAATGTAATTAATATGCTAAATGTAAAAGAGCCATTTTATTTATTCATTAAGTTATTTAAAATCTTTATTGCACTTAAGATGTACAATTGGCGGACTTAATGCCTTTAGGCATTCTCTACCAGTCAACCACGAGCTAAGCAAAGAAACATAAGCAGGTGCCATAAAAACTTGAGAATATATACGTGAATGTAAATATAAACATATACATACTATAGTTGTAAATACAAAAATAAATATATATATAACTACAAATAATCTAAATACTATAGTCTACACATGATACATAAACATACGTAATTTTAAACAATACATAATACATACATTTTAAGCATACATACAAACATATTATACAAAAATGTTTACACAATACGGAATTGACGGAACATAAAAAATCTGAATAACTAGTGTCAAGAATAAACTACTGCTATTGCTTTTTTGCGCTGCTGAATACATAGCCTCAGCTCAGTATTGTGTTGACTATAGCGGCAGCTATGGTCTTCTGCTAAGACCTTAAGACCTTATTCCTGTCACTTGTTAATGTCAGAGTTCAAAGATAGATCCCATCCAATCTTTGACACAAGCGTTTGTGTAGTGGTTGATATAATTAAGTTTGCGGAACGAAAATTTTCTACATTCCAGTGCAGTTGAGAGGTCCAGGGATCTACCAACAAAAACCAAAGCCTAACCAAATCGCACCAAGAGTAGTACTTACTTTACCTAACACTTTTGCAATACTATAGCAATGATTTGAGATCAGCCACCTTTATCCGTTGCCCGGAGCTCTTTCAGTTCAGTTTATGGTAGGGAAAAAATTCACACATTTATGCGACGAAATAAAGAGAGAGGAAAAACAGTACAGACAAAACCGTAGTCAAGTCAAAAAAAAGTCTTTTCTAAACAAATTTATATTTTGAAAATATTGAAATAAATATAGTAATACAAAACCCGTTGAAGAGCGTGATACAAATTTTGCAAAGGTGTGAACAGTCGCCGGTTATTTTAGTAAATGGTTTACAAGCTAATGCGTGCGTAAACGCGTGGAAAATGTCATCCATCATCCATAACAGCCTATCAAGTCTACTGCTGAACTTAGGCTTCCCCCATAGATTTCCTCATAAACTTTTTTATTATTTTGAATGTTATCAGAAAGATACTGAACACGTGTTGTATTATCGACGAAGTGTAGGAAACTAACTTAGGGGTTAGTGTGGTAATGAATTTAGAAGAGGCAGTGAAAGTATACCCAATCGTGGGAGGGAGGGATAACGCA